ACCGGTTAGATGTTGTAAGTCATAAGTCGAGGACTACCTGTATACTTCTGCCCATAACTTGACGGTTAAGCGAATTCCTCACTTTGGCAAACTCTCACTGCAGGTCTACTGGGAAAACGGTGCTCAGATCACATCCCCGCACGATAAGGAGATCCTGAAATGCATTGAAGAATGTGTGGAGCCGTGGAACGACTCCTGGAACGAAAATCTGGTGGACTGCAGCCCTCTCGCTCGAGACCCCCTGCAAAAAATCTCTGCAAGCTACGTGGAGGACCTGAAAAAAATCTGCTACCACCGGTAAGAAACCCGACCCAGAGAACCCAGATTGTTGGGGGCAATATGCTGACTCTCTGTAAACCGCTTAGAGAGGACTGAAAGGCCTATGAAGCGGTATATAAGTCTACTGCTATTGCTATTGCTACCATCATTGACCTAAGGAGAGAGGGGGAAAAGTTGCAAACCAATTAGTCAATTCAGGCGCTTACAAAGTTTGCTGACCTACCTTGTAGCCATTGTCTTCTTTACGGTTGTGGGAAGCTGTAATCATCACCCCCGCGACCGCTCTGAGCTCTTGGACCGCATACGGCTGCAAAACAAAATTTATTTATATTTAATATTTCTAAACCGCCATCTCCTTCAGAGATCCTGGGTTATATCTATGAACTGTCCAAAATCACGTGTGGTTGACCAAATTCACCCAGGCTTAGCCCCGAGAAGGAACACCAAAGTACGCCTAGAACTGCTATGGGAGGGGGGGGGGGATTGGAGCCTTGGAGGAAAGCCATTTTTGGGGGAGGGAAATCATTTTACTTAAAATAAGGAAAATAAAATAAGCCTTTTTAAATGGGAGTTGCATAAAGAGATAACTTAGCACTGCTGTTATGTTAAACGGCATGTCCAGATTTACAAAAGTGTTCTTTGCCTACACAAAAGTGACAAAAATGTTCCACAGGTGCCCAACCACTGTTCAGTTTTAGAAAAGCTACTCTCCAAATTCTATCACTCTGAGGAAGGCAAGGTTTAAATTGTGCAGGATTGTCAACATCCAGAACTGGATTCAAAAAGGACAGCTCACAGATATAACCCAGGAGTAAGAAGTTGCAAGTACAGGTGGTCCTAGATTTGTGACCATAAATGAGCCCAAAATTTCTTTGGTGAAGCAAGGCAGTTGTGAAGTGAGTTTTGGCCCATTTTACAGCAGTTGTTAAATGAATCACTGCAGTTGTTAAGTTAGCAGCATGGTTGTTAAGTGAATCTGGCCTCCCCCATTGACTTGGCTTGTCAGAAGGTCGCAAAAGGATATCTCCTAGCTCTGCAACACTGCAACCATCACAAATGTCACTCAGTTGCCAAGGGTCTGAAGTTCCATCATGTGACCATAGAATGCAGCAACAACCCTTAACTGAGAAACGGTAATAAGTCACTTTTTTCCAGTGTAGCCATAATTATAAGTGGTCAGTAAACAAACTGTTGTAAGTCAAGGACAACCTTTCAAATTGTCTCTGAAATTGTCTTTGTTTCGTCACACCTACAGGTTGCTGCCAAGACAAGGAACTGCAGGTTAAGCCAATAATGTGTAACTCTTGGAATTATAGTGTAGCAGTTGAATTTTCACATTTTAGGAAATTACTTGATTCAAAAAATAGTAATTAATCATGAAACACAAAGTGGAGAAGAAAGTGGAAACGGCAAGATAAATCTGTTTTTTTCACACCAAGCTATTGGTTAAGGCAGGCTTGACTTAAAACCGGTTGCTTAGCAACTGTTTCAAGTGTCGATTGACTCCTGGGAGCTACTTACAACCCGGTTTCAAAATTCTGAAAGCTGCCACTCTCCATGCAACTGCATTTTGGGTGCTTGGCAACTAGGCCACCTTTATACAAGCTGTCTGCAACACCCCACGGTCAGGCAACTGTGATTTACAATGTCTTTTGCAGGAAACAAATGAGTTTGCTTAATGACCATGGCATTCATTTAATAATTGTAATGTTCATTTAACGACACTTAATGAATGCCCCCAAAAAAGGGATTAAATCAGGCGTGGTCACACGAGGACCCACTTAGTGACTGGCACTTGAGGACCCACTTAATGGCTTACAACCGTAACTGGCTCAGTTATGGTTGTCCGACGGGGACCATCACCGCAATTTTAAGGATGGATGAAGAGATGTTACTGCCTGTAGATTAAGGGGAATCTTCAGTTGCCACAGGGGGCGCCCAGCACTAACCCCATTTTACTTCTAGGTATGGTGGTTGAGATGCCCAGCTTGATTCAAAACAAAGTGCCACCCCAATTCAAGAGCCTTTCATAGCAGAGGTACTAATCCACTCCATGAAGCTCAGTCGGAATTTTTTAAAAATAGCCACTTACCACAAAAGGCGTGGGGACGTATCTTGAGAACAAGTAAACAGGAACTCCCTTTGCAAGCAGGACTGCTGCTGTGAGTCTGGCAAGTCTGCGGAAAACAAGAAATCAAAATACAGGAAATAAATAGCAGAAGGGAAAAAAAAATCAGCCATGGGCAAGACTGATAATATGCTACCATAGGAGCTGGAGAACAGCTAAGCAATTTCTTTCATACTGCATTATGTTTTCCTAATTTTGCCATGATAAATAATTTGGTGTTGCAGTTAAGACATCAGGCTAGATACCGAGAGATCACAAGTTCTAATCCTGCCATAGGCATGAAAGGCGGCTGGGTGACTTCAGTGACCAGGAGACTGTGAGTTTTAGTCGCACCTTAGCCATGAAAACTGGCTGGATGACTTTGGTCCAATCACCAGGAGAATGTGAGTTCTAGTCCCATTTTATGCATGAAAGCAGCTGGGTGACTCAGTGAATCCTAGTTCCACCTTAGGCACGAGAGCTAACTGGGTGACTTTGGGTCAATCACTAGGAGACAGTGAGTTCTAGTTCCACCTTAGGCACGAGAGCTAACTGGGTGACTTTGGGTCAATCACTAGGAGACAGTGAGTTCTAGTTCCACCTTAGGCACGAGAGCCAGCTGGGTGTCTTCAGTCATCAGGAGACCAGGAATTCTAGTCCTACTTTAGGCATGAAGCCACCTACCCTGGGCCAGTCCCTCTTTCTCAGCCCTAGAAAGAAGGCAATGGGGCCAAAACCAATCCTGAAATCTTGCCTAGAATACTGCAGGGACTAATCCAGGTGCTCTCTAGGAGTTTAAAAAAACGAGTTGAAGGCATAAAAAAGTGCAATCTTTCTCAACAGCACAAATTACTACACAGCATGCCTTTTCTGGAACCCTAAAGTGCTGAGGGATATAGCAAGCACAGAAACACGGGCCTGTTGAACAAATTTCTCTTCCGAATCAGCTTCATGCCCAAATCAAAATGCTTTCCATATTACAAAATGATTTCAAAAAACAGGTTTAGGCCCTGTGCATCTGTTGGATTCTAAATAAATTCGATAGGATCGACAGCAAATTCTGCAGGAGAATGTATGATAACTGTACTCATGGTGAAAGGCTAATATTCTACTTAAATGTTTTGTCTGCAACAAAGGATTTAGCTCTAGATCTACAGCTTCTATTCCATGGCATCCGAAACTATCCAGATTTCTCTGACCCGTTGAGAGAGAATGGCGATCTGAATCCAGTCAGGTCTACGAAAAGCATTAATTAACATTTATTACTGGTGCTTATTTGCAGGGGGGAAAATGTGGTTTTCTTTTCCAGATTTGTTCTCCAATTCAAACTATTAATACTGGCCTCTGCGGGAGAAATGGAGGCATTCTTTACTTCTAGACTTTTAAATCTGGACCAAGTCCATACCTGAAGCTGCTGCACATGCTGGTCACCTGGCCTCGCGTGTCATATCCTACCACAAAGCCACGTTGCTTGAAGTCAGAAAAACATTGCCCAAGGTATTTGTACATGCCCTGCAGGAAAGGAAAAGAGAGAGAAGGAGAATACAGGATCATTTGCCTGGGCAGAAAACTTAATAGAAGGTTAGGTTTATTGAGGTCATGCTCTATTGCAGGGGTGTCAAACTCAAGGCCCACAGGCCAGATCCAGCCCGTGGGGTGCTTAAATCTGGCCCATGGGGCCAGCCTGGAAATAGAAGAACTGGGCCATGGTGCCTCTGGCAACCAAAACGAGGTGCTGGGGGGCCACACATGGGCATGCCCCGTTTTTGGCCTGGACAGTCTCCTGAAGCATTTGGCCAAAATGGGGTGCAGGGGGTCGAGCAGCATTCTTTTTTGGGGGGGGGGGAAGCAAAGTGCTGGAGGAGACAGTTCAGGTTGAAAATGGGGCGCTGCGCAAGACACCCCCCCCACGCCCCATTTTGGCACAGAAGGCTGCTGTCTTCCTCCCCCCACCCCTCAGCCGGCCAGCAGAGATCTACAATGCTGATCTGGCCCTTGAAGAAATCCAGTTTGACACTCCTGCTCTATTGCGTAGACCAGAAGGCATCGCTCTTGGATTGGCCTTACATGTTTACCTGCATAATGGTTAAACAAGTTATTTTAGAATTCTTTTTTGTTAAAAGAAATTCAGTACAATTTATTTTTATACCCTTCTCTGTAGATCAGTGTTTCTCAGCTGTATCAGCTTTAAGATGTGTTGACTTCAACTCCCGGAATTCCTGGCTGTCCACTCATCTTAAAGTCAATAAAGCTGAGAAATATTGCTTTAGATGGATCAATAAGTTAATAAAAAGAGATGTGTAATTCCTCCATGCAAAGCTTCCTCAGCCGGAATGATGGAAGAATCTGCCCTTGCTCCATTGTGTTGTTTTGTTCTTCAGCCTGAGAGGAAAATGTGTCATCTTTCTATGCCAGTTTATCAGGAAGGGAAATAACTTCTGTCGATGTGGGTGTGGGTTTTATTGTTATTTATTTTTCAAAATTATACAGCCATCTGTCTCACACAAGTGACTCTGGGCAGCGTACAAATGAAAACATAAAGTGTTTTTCTTTTGAACGATAAGGAGTAATTTTTATTTACATGGGGTCTGTCATGGCCCAAGGTCTCCTACAATGAGCCCCTTGGATCAGCTACTATCTGAAGCTACTGATCCCTGGATCACTTTGCAAGAAAAACAAAAAGAACTAGTTCGCTTTCACCAAGTGCCAATAAGGTGGAGTTAACTGCTAAGGTAAACTTCAACAATGGACAATATTTGCTGAACAGTAAATAATTTATCCTAGGTATAACGGTCCATTATATCCTCACACAATAAAGATTTCCAAAACAAACATGCCATCATTCCAGGCTAAAGACAGTGTACTAATTCAGATAATTCTATTTAAGTTAAATAGATCAATATATCAGCAGCCTCTTTTCTCCACACAACAGCTAACTACAATAATGCCCCAAAGCTTTCCATTTGTTATTCTTTGGTATCTGGACTACTGTCAGGTTCAAAACGAGTCAGTTAAAATCTTAATGTGTTTTCAGCTCATTTTCTGGATAAGCAAAATTTTAGGGAGGGTAGGAAAGCGATAGGATGGGAGGGATATGAAGAAAGGAAGTGAGGTGAAGATCAATCACATAGGCCAAACAACACTCTAACCTCCTATAGTTTATTAAGTTGAGATATGACTGCATGACAGCATAATCTTAAAATGCCCTGCATGACAAACAGAAGAAACTGTGCTACTCCTGAATAAAAGACTGAAGCACTCAGGCAAGGAAAGACTTCACATTCTAACTTGTAATTTTCCCAGGGAGAAACTTTAGTCTACTGTCTACATACCTGACACCTGATATTGTTCTTGATTCACTTTTTTGTGTTCTGCATAGGTGTCCATTCCTTGTGGACTGATTTTTTTTTTTATTTCTCCCAAATTAATCATGTTGTGGGGGGTTCAAATTATGCACCCCAGATGGTATCTTTGAACAACAGAGGCTCAAAATGGCTATTTGGAGGAATGCTGATTTAGTGCCTGGTACTTCGGTCAGCATAAATCCCACTCAGGAGACTTAGTGCCTGGATCTTTACCGATTGCTCAATAAATCTGCATTGCATAGTCCTTTTCTTAGGGCTGACTGCAACATGGATTAAACAAAAAAACAAAAAAAACCTAAACCCCTACTTAAAAATGTATAAGTAAAATGTATAGGTAGGGACCAATTCTGGACATTAGTTCCATTTCAAAAACTTCTGGATTCCATTCACTTATTAGAACAGTGTTTCTCCACACCTTGCCCAATTTAAGATGTGTGAACTTCAACTCCCAGAATTCCTCAGCCAGCATGGTTGTTGCTAAGGCTTCTGGGAATCGAAGTCTACACATCTTGAAGCTGCCAAGATTGAGAAATGCTACCCTAAAGATATAACCAAGGGACCTCAAAATGAGCTGTGAAAGGCAATGTTGAAGAAAATCTGGATTTTCCAAGACATGCTACAGCAGGGCTGCCCGAGGAATTCTGGGGTTTGAAGTCCACACATCTGGAAATGGCAAGATTGAGAAATGCTACCCTAAAGATATAACCAAGGGACCTCAAAATGAGCTGTGAAAGGCAATGTTGAAGAAAATCTGGATTTTCCAAGACATGCTACAGCAGGGCTGCCCGAGGAATTCTGGGGTTTGAAGTCCACACATCTGGAAATGGCAAGATTGAGAAATGCTACCCTAAAGATATAACCAAGGGACCTCAAAATGAGCTGTGAAAGGCAATGTTGAAGAAAATCTGGATTTTCCAAGACATGCTACAGCAGGGCTGCCCGAGGAATTCTGGGAGTTGAAGTCCACACATTATTAAGTCAGCAAGGCTGAGAAACACTGTAGTAGAAAGAAGGATCCTGGATGTGGAAGTCAGAGGTTAAACCAAGTTTCTACAGTTTTACTTGGACTTTCTTGGATATAAACCACCCTGTTCTATCTCTATCTTCTAAGTAGAATCAATGGGGCAATACAAGGTTGATATAGGGAATATTGGGGGGTGGGGGGAGGGAGGTAAGGATCAAAACTAACCCTTTACCCAACTACAAGCCAGCCTACTAAAGGCTACTACAGATGCAAATGCAGTTAGAACATAAAGAGCAACTACTGCTAAGTGCAATTTGCAACTTACCCAAGATCTATCACTGGATGGATAAGGCAGCTGACCGATCTTCCTCAATTAAACATGGACACTTGGCTGGCAGTTAGGATAAGATCAAGAAAACACACCTTCATTAACCCCCCCCCAAAAAATGCTCACTAGTCCTGGGGTGACTACTGAAAATTTACAAGACATCAGCATTATTCTCTTGTGGCAGCATTAATTCCTTCCTCTTCCTCCCTCCCTCCCTCCAAAAATACTGTGTGGTGTGTGGTGTGGTGTGGTGTGGTGTGGTGTGGTGTGTGTGTAAAAAACAAACAAAATGTTAAAAAGTTATGGTATTTATGTAGTTACTTACCAAGCACATCTAAATTACCTAAATCCAAGGACATCCAGCCCTTGGTTATCAATGGAGACCAAGTGGAGCAAGTGGCCAGTTTTAAGCTTCTGGGTGTTGTGGTCCAAGAGGAGCTGACCTGGGGCAACTCACACTGCAGCCCTGGCCAAAAGGGCCCAGCAGAGATTATACGACCTGAGGCTTCTCAGGAAACAACACCTGAATGAAAAACTGCTAGTGACCTTCTACTGCTGCACCATAGAGAGTAGTTTACCTTACTGCACCTGTGTCTGGTTTGCCAACTGCACAGGAGCAGATAGGACAGCGCTCCAGAGG